TGCTTGCCGCCGGTGCATGTCTCACCTTTTAACGCGAGCATTTTGTCTGGTAGCAGCTTAAAGAATAGCTCCAATTCATCCATATTAAAGATGTCATCAGGTGCGTAGTCTTCCAAGATGTTCTTCAGCTAACCATTTTGCCACTGCTTCGCGCCATCCACGTCAGCAGCAGCACCTTCTTTCGAAATGGTCCTCGTGGTAATGCCGTGCCTCACGTTAAATCTGGCCAGTCAGCCATTGCCGCACACGAAGTTGTCATGATTCAGCTGCGAGGCAAAAACCAGGGCCTTCTCCACGAGCAGGGGTCCACTGATAGGCACATTTTCTTGACCGTGCAGCTTTTAGCCACTTCACCAGCGCCTCCTCTACATCCGAAAAGGTCGAACTGCGTAGGCCGCACCTTTTCGCAGTTGCAGCAGCACTGCCGAGCAACTTCTCTCTGGAATTTCAAAGCACCGTGGTTAACGGCAGGTTCTTTTCGCATGCCAGCGCAGATTTTTTTGTGCCACTTTCAATAGCACGAATTATGTCCCAATTTCTCCTCTATTTTCAGCACCCGATGCTTTTTTCCCAGCTTCGGCATGACGCAAGTACGAAGCAGCACAAGCACACATACACAACACGTGAAAAACGACGCGATAGCTGTACAACACGGAACAACCAGAGAACACCCATGCACAGCGCTAAAGGAACAAGGAAAGCAAAGCAAGCGCACACTGTGTTTGCGTGTTAAAGCCCCTATACTCGGTAAATGTACCGCCATCTGCTCTCCCCCTCGCCGCCTCCTCTCCAGCGCGTTGCTTTTTTTTTTCTTTCGCTTGTGACACTGGTGCCCCCTGTAACGCGCCACGAGCTTGCCCTGGCGGGTAGAGGAGAAAGCGGCATAGATCAAAAGAAGGCTGTACTTTATATAGGTATAGGGGCTTTATTGCGTGTTTGTGCAAAGTGCCATTGCGTGAACAACACCAGAAGTCTAGCCAGCCGAGTGCTTCTTGTTGCAGAAAAATCCAAGAGATCGCGCTCACCAACATCATCATCAACACAAACAAGCGAGGCGTGTTTCGATCTCTGGGGCTTGCTATTCTGTCGGAATGACCAGCGGGGGACGACATGCCGCGGCGAGTGCACAACGAAAATTGGAAAATCTACTTATTAACCGATACATACGCGATAAGCTGGTACGGTTTATGCGGATAGAAAATGCATTATGTTCATTGGCCGCCGATTCGGGGATCTGACATTACTACTTTTAAAACAAAACTACTGTTTAAGCGGGTACGGTTTCATAAGGTTTCACTGTACCATGTTTCCCTACATGCCCAATTTCGACCTTGGCATCACCTGTGCCTCATCAAAGCAATTTCTCTCAAAACATTTCGTTCGCCCTTCCGCAAGCTTCATGCTAGTGGCTTCCCCGCATGCTTTGCTCTTCCGCAGTTTCTTGATTCATCCCTCCTTCCTTGCAACATCCCACCACACCTGCAGAGTTCCAAGAATTTTCTCGGGCACATCTACAGGGATTGAATTGAATTGTTTATTTTTTCGGCAACAAAATAAGTTGCCCTGGAGCTATGGCAAAAGGCAACATTTAAAGTCGCCTGACTAGGCCCCTAGCCCCCGGCAGCACAATCACACAAGCAGCAGTTTAATACAAAATGCAAATAGCTTAGAAACTGTTATTCAAAACCTTATACAATTCTATGTTCAACTGTACAACAATATCAGGCAAACCATACACAGTTTGTATTCATTTCTGGAACCTGTAATCAAACTTTGTAAGCATAAATATGTGTAATAAGATAACTCCTGTTACACACCAAAAAAAAGCTTTTTTTTTACAGAGATTCAACACAAAACAAAAAACACAAGAACACACTCGCACACAATAATAGAGCTACAAAAGAGGAGACAGAAATAGAAAGAAACATTGTCGACTTTATGAGTTGTGAATGAATCCTAAACCATGTTTTTGCATTAGAAAAAGAACATGAATGTTTTTTGACGTAGCGCCCCAAACTAGTATAAAATACTGTAGCCTTGTGTGAACGGCTCAGTGGTAAAGTTGTCGTTTTATGTTCTCGGGTAACAATATACGAAGTTTGTTTAGGGCACCAATTGTTTGGGCTACACTACGCTTATATAATTTGCATTATACTTTTTTCTCGCGTAATAAACAGACCTCCTACATTTATCCGCTGCAGTCCCGCTAACCGACACCTAGAGCAATTCGAAGCTGAATACAGTGTGCATAGCCTCACCCTTGTATCATCTCGTGTCTCGCTCACATGCAAATACACTCAAACCTCGTTATAACATAACAGGATATAAGGAAATAATGGATATAACAAAGTAACTGAAATTCTCCTTGAAAGCTTTATTGAGAACCATGCATTCTAAACCTCATCGTAAGGAAGCAAAATTGACTGGTAAATGGATATAACGAACTAAATTAGTCTATCAAATAATTTATAAAAAAAATGACCACAGCGTATCAAGTATATCGTTTTTTGTGGAGTTTGATGTTTGTTCGGCACGACTCTTTCAAAACTACCGCACCGACCTGACAGCCACTCCACGCGCAGCGGAGAGGGCCGTCCTCCTCACACAGCCAGCAAAGAGGATTGAAGAAGTGCTCAGCGGGTCACATGACCAAGAAGCGGCACAGCAGTGCAAGGCGATTTCCCTCTCCATGCCTTAAAGACAACAGCAACGACTAAGTCTCCGCTGCTACCCTCGGCACCAAGAAAAGAGGACTCTCCGCGACAGCTTTCTTTTTTTTTCCCTCTCTCTCAGCGCATGGCCTTGAAAGAAGGGTCTCTATGTGCAGAGACAGAAAAGGGAGAGGTGTGGCACAGGCGCGTCGCAGATCAGCATTTGAGAGAGAGCAAACAATCTGCCACGGTCTTTTCTTTCCTTTTCTTCTTTTCCTTCTTCGCGCGCAGCATTGAGAGGTGCTGCCGCGGGATTGGGCATGGTGCTGAGAGCATTTTCGGAGCGTGGTATATTCGAATTAACCGTCGCAAGTGCTTGTGCGTTCGAATTACAGGGCGTTATCGTCCATTGGAATACACATAACTTTGACGGAACCTCAGCATGAGTTCGAATTAACGGGAAGTTTGAATTAATGAGGTTCGACTGTGTTTATTTTCCGCCGCACGCGTGGTCGCATAGCGGTACATCGGGTCGCGAAGCGGTTTCCTTCATTGCATGCTTATAGGTGTGCGCCCATCTGAGCATACATTGCCACTAACTGTTATAATCGATATAACGAAATAATGATTATAACAAAATAATTCTGGCTCCCCTTCAACTTTGTTGAAACGAGGTGTGAGTGTAGGTTTAAATAAATTAATATGCTACAATGTTCTTATTGCAAATTTCTCAATGGATATGACACAATATAAAAGAGAAAGCACAATGATGCCAAGGAAGAGGTAAGGTATGTATAAGTGTAATGTAAATGAGAAGAAAGAAGAGTGGATGAAAAGGTAACTGGGAGCTAAAGCCTCAACTATCGATTGGCAATACTTTCTGATCATGCTAAAGAGATGTTGCAGGGTCTCTTAAGTGGTGCCAAAATGATACGACAGGTACAGTGTTGTTTTCATTTTCATTTTGGATTGTGCATGGGCCCTGTGTTTCTACAAGCAGCAAGTTATATTTTCGTTTGCTTTTCTTTCTTCACATTGACATTACAATTAATACTACGATATTTACTCGTGTAATGAACGCACTCACATAATAAATGCACCCCAACTTCAGTCGTCAAAATTTAGATTTTTTTCCTCACGTTATAAACACACCCCCTACATTTATCCGCTGCAGTCCCGCTAACCGACACCTGGAGCCTCTTTCTTCTATCTCTTTCGTTTTTTTATTATCATGCTGACCCCCATCGTCCACATATTGTTTTTCTTTCTATTTGTGCACGGCACTACCCTCCAGTTTTTTTCATCTCTGCGCCACAGCGGGGTTCAGGAACAGTACGAGTGTAAAGACGTCTCAGCTGATAAGCACACAGCGAGTGAAGGTCACCAACCTTCCTGTGCCAACCGACAATCGCTTTCTGCAAATGCTAAACATTTAGGCCCAACAATGTGCAACAACGAGAAGGACGGCGACAGGATTTGTTGCAAAAGGTCATTCGTTGCTAAGGTTTCTGGAAAACCAGAAAAAATTGCTTGTCGCTCAGATGAGATCGTGATGATTTCCGCAATGTGGTAGCACCCCCAATACTTTCTTCGCTTGTTCTTCATGTATACAAGAACTTCTCATGTAGAAGCGAGGCGGTGGTTGTATTTTGTCGTTAATCTTGTTATCGACCATTTTGCTTTGATGCTTTGAGGGTAGGTTCCTGCAATGTTGGTTGCTTGCTACATTGTCAAGGTTATCGTCGCGGTCATCGTGGGAGGTTGCCGCGAAGTTGGCAAAGTGCGTCGTAGCACACACTTCTGGCCACCCCTCAAGATCACTGTAGATACCACAGTAGAGGTTAAACGACTGTGAGAAAAGATAGCCGCGAAACGCTTTTATGGCATGCGCGGGTGATGCGGGGACAACTTGCAGAAGATGGCGCCTTCAACTACTGAAGATGAGTAAAGCGCAACCAAGAAGCTATTTCAAAACAGTGTACGCGTATGTCAATTGCAAAGGCTAAGTGATCTAACTTACTTTTTTTTTTTTTGCATTTTTTGCTCACCCCAAAAAAGCTTTTAAAAAATTTACCTCTCATTATAAACGCACCCCCAGAATTGCTCTGATTTTACGAGAAAAAAATGTGTTGATTACACGAGTAAATATGGTACTACTGTCTATTATACTTGCCTTAGTATCATTGTTTTCTAGGCCTCATTAATATTGCGCTTAACAAAAAAAAAACAATGAGCCTTTATAAATTTGCACTTCTTTTCTATCATCCTATCAGACGCATTTTAGAAATGACCCAGTTTTGTGGTGCACACTGTGCCTGATAGTGCGGAGTTGTTTTCTTTGTTGAGCAGGAGCCACCAGCAGGCTGGCCAGGGTTCGCCAGAGGCCAGTGGGGAGGCGGTGCGCATCTATGTGCCCTACCACGGGGCGGAGGATGCGGATGCTGTCGCAGACAAGGACTCGTCCAGTGTAGCGGCAGCAGTGGCCAACGGCGACGTCACGCCCACCAACCAGGACCCCAACAAGATCACCATCCACGTTGACCTCCACCACTACTGTACGTCAACGACACCCACGGCAGGACCAACCGATGTGCACTGTGACAGCGGCGACACCACAACCCTGCAGCACACAGGCAATTCGACCTTTCACCAGGTCGCCACCACTGATCTCTAATGGCAACATGGTGAGATTAACTAAAAACTAGCATTGTGTAAACCTTGGTGGGGCATTTGCGCGAGCCGGCGTTTAGTGTGTGGTGACACCATGGACTCTAGCTAACAAGGGGGTTAACACACTCTTTTGGCCTCGATTTACGTAGACGAACCCCAGGAGAAATCAGCAGTCACTTTTTCCTGTCTTCTTCTCTGCCTACATACACCTCTTTCTTTGTTACTTTTGATCTTTCCTGTCTTCTCACTTCTTTTACTTTATTTCTCGGAGGCAAGTGTTAACCTGGCATAAATATCTAGCCTTGAGTAGAAGTATTGGGTATAGCAGCCATGTACAGCTGGCGCTTCCATTTTCTTTGTGTCTCATAGTGTCCTCTCGTTGGGCTCGGAGGTGGGTGGCTTGCTAGGCTGCCGAATAAACAGCATATATCATGGGATCCCCTGAACCCAACCGAACAGATCGCTTATCTAAGAAGTAGTGCACCGGTGCAATCTTTTAACAGCTTTCTACAAAGGACAACTTCCCCAAATTTCACATTATTCATTGCGAGAGTAAAGAAAAGAAAGCTAGAACCATGCCACCCTTTCTTGTACCGAAATGTCTCATGGAAAACATTCGCACGGGCTACAAAGCCACCAAGATGGCTAGTGGTGACCTCCTGCTTGAACTTGGAGACCATTTACAGTACCAGAGGCTACAGAACCTGGCAGCGGTCAGTAATGAGCCCATCACCATCACACCATACAAAACACTGAACAACGTAAAGGGTGTCGTGTCAAAGGTCCATTTAATATATTTGTCCTGTGAAGGACTCCTGACAGGCTGGAAAGAAGGCAACGTAATCCAGGTGCAGCGCATAACCATAAGGTGAAAGAAAAACAAAGAAATTCCTATGAAACACATACTTTCGGACCAACAACTCTCTTGGCTGAAACAGTTACAGGTTACCTCGAACTGTACGTACCTGCACGAAATGTGGCACCTCAGGACACTCTGCCGACAATGAATGTAATTCCAAATTTCACTGCGCCAACTTTGCTGGAGACCACCTGACGTATTCCAGGTTTTGCGTGGCCTGGAAGACGGAAAATGAAGTTATAACCACCAAGATCAAACTCAACATCACCTTTGATGAAGCAAAGCAGTGCGTTTCCCCGCATTTTGCAGGGAACACATCTGACTGAAGTGGTGCGAAGGGGGTCAGCACCACAACGGTTTTTGACGATTGCCCGGACCTCGCATGACGTGCTGAGGCAAACGCCAGTGGCGCCCCTGGGAAGAGCAGCCTTGGTTGCTCTACTTTTCATTAGCTCGGCCACACCGAAGGCCCCTGTGAACCCTGGCCGCATCCAGGGCAGCGAACAAGTGAAAGAGGTCCTCTCAATCTCTGGCCTTGTCCATCGTAAAGCTTTGTCTATCGTAACGAAGCCTACCTTATGTACATGACCGTCTGGTCCTTCTCCGGAGGCAATAAACACCACTCGTATACTAGGGCCAAAGGTGCGACGAGAACCTCAAAAAAAATAAAAGACAAAAAAGACAAAATGCTCCAAAAAAGACAAAACGCTAAAAACAGGGCCTCCCAAAGGCTCTGCAAAATAAGTTGCTTTTTCTCTTTTCGTCAACGCAGAACACATTCAAGATGGACAACTAAAGAGACTGCTACACAATCTCGACAATTTACCGAAATTCTTTGGCAACTTTTGCCCCAATGTTCTGTGTGCAAAGGAGACACATATAAAATTAAAACACACAAATTTCTTCCATCAGTATATTGCTTTTGTAAAGACTGTCGCAATCATCTCTCATCATCCGGTGGTGTTGCAATTTTACTCTATAGAACTGTAGCATGTTGGCACATTATGCTCCAAATAAGGCAGCAATCGTTTGAGCTATAATTTCAAGCAAACTCATTACAATCTGCTCAGTATACATACCCCCACATTACCAGCTATATGAACTCCAATATTTTATCGATGAGTGGCCAGAGCCCTACCTTTTTCTTGGCTATTTCAATGCTCACAGCAGCCTGTGGGGCAACTTTGGCATTGGCGCCCAAAGCTGGCTCATCGAGAATTTTATCTTTTTCACAGGCACATGGCTTCTAAACAAGAAAGAACCAATATCTTTTAGCCTTGCAAAGGACACACATTCTTTCATCTATGTTAGTGTTATCTCTTCATCTATTTCACTTTATTTCTGTCTATCTTAGTGTCATCCCTTCATCTATTTTACTTTATTGCGACTGGGAAAATGTTAAAAACATTTATGGAAGTGACCACTTCCCAATACTGCTCAAAACACAAAAACAAAATGAATCTTTGTCCCAGGCTCCTCGGTGGAAGCTTGACAAAGCCAACTGGGACGGTTTTCACAGCCTAAGATCTCCTGGGCAGACCTGTCTTGTTTTAATATCAACTCTTCTGTGGAGTATTTTACTGATTTTATTGTCAAAAAATTTATATCTGAGACCAGTGCCACCATTTAATGTAGTGCTTCCTGGTGGAATGACAACTGCCACAAAGCTCGGAAGAAACAAAATAATGCGTGGGGGCTCCTGCATGATTTTCCCACAGGGGAAAACCTCACCAATTTTAAACATATCACATCACAAGGACGAAGGACATGCCAGCAGCCTAGAAGGGACAGCTGGCAGAGGTTCATATCGAGTGTGAACTTTTATTAAGATGAAGCTAGTGTCTGAAAGAGCATCATAAGAGGTCAACCAACATATTCAGTACCATTAGTAGAGACTTGAATATTTTCCAACAACCGCATTATAAGCGGTCTTTCATCTTGGGGGACTGCACAATAAGCGATATGTGTAAATGCGAGGGTTCTATGAAAAGGTAAACGGGAGTTCAAAAAGAGTGCATTTTAAGTGGTCCTGCACCATAAGCGGTAATGTTATAAGTGGCCTACATTGTACTTTTCTTTGCATCATTGTCTCTTAGTTCTCAATTACAATATCAACCAAAAAGTATAATATTCTGCGTACGTTTTGTGTACAAAAGCAGGTTCAGTTTCTCCTGATGGGTTTGTTAAACATTTTTTGGTGACCATGTTGACATCACCATCAAAAAGTGCACAGCTCTTAACCACCATCTTATTAAGTTGTGCTTAGATAATGCAGTTACAGTAGAACTTGGTTTATAGATTTTCGCAATAAAGTGCTGGAAAAATCGGTAAGAGTGAACATAATGCAGCACTGAAGACGTCCGAGAAATATATCTACACAGCATAGTGTCAACATGAAATCGCTGTTACGTGTCGAAATTTGCTCACTTAACCCATCCGTATCAGTCTGTTTAATATATTTTAATTATAAAAAAAATTGTGTGGCTCGTAATATGCACAGTTGACCTTGAAGTGAAGGTTTGCTGTAGTGTATTTCTTCTGAATAGATGATTTATGGACATTGGTGCCCCTGCTGCTGTGAAATCCATCAGGTGAATCTATTTCTGAAAAATATTGTAATTTTGTGGGTTGACCCTAAAGTTACAAAAATATTGGTCGCGTTGTTACATACACATACATACACATACATTCATGAGTTACAGTAAGATCAATTCTACAAAAAGCTTTACAACTTAAAAAAAAAAAAAAAGATGTGTTGCAGTAAAAAGAGTTCACAGTAGCACAAATGTAAATGCACAAAATGACGTCAAATGGAAACACGTACAGCGGCTGAAAAGTCCTCTTTGATTTAGTGAGCATCGCCTCACCGTGCGTGCTTTTGAAATTATGTTCATTCATCAACATCTGAGTGTCAACGTGCAAGTTAGTATGATGGGCTTACATCCAATTAATCAGATTGCTCTGCTGCATGCGAGTTGAGCAGCGATTTCAAGGGATCACTGCTCGACCAAAGAAACCAGCGCGCAGTTCTATAGCATAAGCAAAGTGTGTGAGTGAGTGCACTGAAGAAAACTGTGTGGTTGTGTGCCTGTCTGGAAAGCAAAGCGAGTGAAAAAGTTAAAAATTAAGAATCCTTTGTCTTATCACCAACAAGATGGGACATATTGTAAGATATTAAGCGTAACCTTGACTCTTGCAAATCCTCACACAAACACTCACACATCCACTCAAGTAACACACACGGCACTCGGCACTCACTACCAACTATTTATTGCTCTTAAATGACCCTTTATATGTGTTAAAAAAAAAATAAGCGAAGGCAAAAATAAACAGAGCTGTGCATGTGGAAAGCATTTAACGCGCGAAGTATATACTGCCACCACACAATGAGAAACAAGAAAAAAAAAAAGGAATTACGAAAAGCAGATAAGCCAGCTCTAATCACTTAATTCTTGCCTTTTGAAAAGATTTTTCCTGTTGATGTAACACCAAGGATGACTCGCTGAGACAGCTATCCTTATTTGTTTCAATAATATATGCTTCCAACAGCAGACGTGCACATAAATTCAAGCTTCTTTCAAGAACCTTGTAGTAGTAAAGCATTTAAAAGAAAAAAACACCACACCTGCACGGTAGGCACAGCACCGTCACAACGAAAGCTGGAAGAGCGGCCTTTCAGAGCCTTTTCTAAACACTCATTGGGTAACTACTGCAAGCACACTTGCTTGGTACCCACTAAGGCATTAATAGTAAACTTTTGGGTAGTAGGCTGGCATTTGCTATGCTAATTTTCGTCATTCTTCTGAGAAGCGTGGTATTCGCTAAACAATTGCAAAGAATTTTGTGCCAATTGCCCAGGCAGTCACTGCCGACGATGAGGAATTATGGCTGAAGTTGGTATGCACCACAGTTAATAGGGAAACAAGAACAAGCTTTTGTAATGGGTTGGAGCATTGGACAGCCCACTTGTTATGCTAATTGCATTGTGCAACTAGTTATTTTTTTTGCTGTTTTGAAATGCTTTATAAGTCGTACTAACGCGATTGCTGTCCCGACATCAAACCTGCCTAAGGCAAGTTTGATAACAAGTCACAAGCATTGGTATAGCTCAGTGGTACAATACTGGGCTGGCACCCAGCGGACCTGGGTTCGAGCCGCACTATGCCATTGGTGCTAGGTCATGCCTGCCTAAGGGAAGTTTGACAACAAGTTACCAGCACCGGCGTAACTCAGTGGTAGAATTTTAACCTGCACCCAGCAGACCCGGGTTCAAGCCCTACTGTGTCATTGGTGCAAGGTTTTTTTTTTTCTAATTTTGCGCGATGTGGTTACGGACACTGGTGGCGGTGGCGGCGGACAACATGCAACTGCGCGTGACCCAAAAAGTGATCTCATAACTGCTTTCACTGTAAAAACGGGAGACATGAGTGCTAGAAAGAGAAGGTTCTATGCATTCCCGCAGTGTGGCAGCACGTGCCAAGCAAGATTAAGAGGTGCACTTTGTACAAATTCACTGAGGACGTACATGTGCACTATTGGCCCATAAGCTTTAGTGGTGTGTTTATGGCATCAGACACACAGCTTTCCATGTTACCACAAAAGCCACTCCACCTCTTCATGTTTTTCCGCCTATACGCTTTTTGTCATTGCTAACAGCTTTATTAGTGTCACGTGTAATCTCCATGATTCAGCATGTTGTGTATGGGTTGCTATCCTCAGGAAGAACTTATCTCGACAGTAGTGTACATCTTGCGCATCTTGTAAGTGGCTGTAAAGTCGGGCAGTGACACTGATTTGCATAAACATCCAAATTGGTGACTGCTCTCTGGTTCCGCACTGTGTCCTTAAAAACATTTGGCAGGGTTGTTTCGTTTTTGCTACCTGTGTGTAAATATCGGCCCATTTCTTTTTGTTCTCAGGTTGCACTAAAACAGGTCAGATGATGGTTTGGTGCCTACATGGAATGTGCCCACGCAAATGGACTTGAGGGCCGTCAATCAAAGGAGTGAGTAGGCTAAATGGATTGACAGAAGTATCGGTCGTCTTGGGACAAAGGCGCACGATGGAGTGCTGCCGATTGTTCCATCCTTTGTGAAACTGCTCCTCTGGCTGCCTCCCCAGGGAAAAAATATTCTCCCATCACAAACGTGCCGTGGTTGCAACGTGCAAGCCACAAATGGCAACTTTGTGTTAATCTGTGAACGTCATCCTTTGTGGTTGCAGACAGTATGCTCAAAGCCAGTGGTGTTTGCACACGCTTTGTGTTACACACAAAATGCCACCTAATTGATGAACGTTGGTTGTATGTGACAGTGGTTGCTAAACAGGTGGGTTAGCTTGCACTCAAATTATGTGTATAAGTGACATTTTGAACATTCAAATCTGTTACCGCATTTGCATCCGTCAGCATGTTTTGAACTTGCTCATTTTAGCTTGAATAAATAGAAAATAGCAGCAGCAACGACATCTCATAAAATCCAATTTTTGTGAAATGTGACTGACAGTTTTAACTCGATGATATGAAGCATCTTGTCCCGTACTGCGTAAACTGTTTGGCGCTTTCCAGGTATTCGGAAAAAATTTTTATTTAGTATTAGAGCGAGAAGTAATCACCTGATATTTAACTGAATACTACTAATACACAATGTTTGTGTGGGAAGGACTCAACTTTACCTGATGGCTTTTCTGGTTACTCAACTTTTGGCACAATCGTGGAAGCAGCTAATTTGTTTATGCAGAGAAGCATTCTTCGAGGACATGTGCCACTTATTGGCAAAGCCATGCAGGCTAGACAAGTATGTACTTAACAACTTAAGTCTGTTGCTAGATCTCTCGTTAGTTTCCTGGGGACCTTTGTAGTGTGTGCACCAACCAGCAGCTAAGTCGTTGGTTAGAAAATATCTCGTTACTTCTTGGCTTACGTGTGGACATAGCTGAACCGGCACTTAATTATTGGTTTGGTAGGTTTTACACAGGTTACCTTACAGCTTGCCCTGTGGTCACTTGGGCTGTCCACTCTGTCATCTCTGTGTTTGGGCTTTGTACTCACAGAAAGGCAAAATTCAGGCCGAAACGTAAAGCAGGGACAATCGTCTGTTGTGAAGAGTTGTGCAACATTTACACATTGCTTGCAAGCATGACTGTGTATGCATGGCCTTTGGTCACTTTTTATTTCTTGCATAGAAAGTGAGCATCACATCTCTCTCCCACATTTTGAACCTAATTGTTTGTTGCTGTGTTGATTATAAACCTCAATATTGATCACGTGAGGCCTGAATTTGTTGCTCTTCTCGCAAGCAACCAGTGAAATGCATTACTGTTGCCACATTACTGTGCATGCATTAAACGGTCTAAGTGCACTCGTGCTTCTTTTATTTGTGGATGTTTTTCAAATGGCGAGAGTACTCTGAGCTCTACATCTCCGCATAGTCTACTCACAGCCTACTCGACTTGCTTGGATGTAGAGCCTTTTGAGAACAATTGTTGCGTGAGATTGCATGACTTTTTGAGGGTCCTTTGCTTTATTTTGTCCTAATTTCGCTGCTCCTAGAAAAATCCAGTGCCAAATTAGCCTTTCTGGGAAATGCATGCAAGTGTGTGCCTTTTTTTTTCTTTTTTGATCCACTAACTTATGTAGGCATCTGTGGCTGTGTTATAGGAATTGTTGCTTGTGAAAGCTGTATAACTCTCTTTTGTTGTAGTGTAATCTGTAATGAAGAGTTTCTCAATGTTATAACGGACAGTGCCCGAGTGGGCTTAATATTGTGAACTCAATAGCAGGCCAAGCTTTACGTGGTAAACAGCGTGCAATTGTTTTGTGCTGTCTTATAAAATAGCATAGGAGCCAACTAGCATAATCTATCTTGCTAAGTATGCAAGTACTGCCCTAACATCATATTCTCTGAGGTTCATTTTCCACACTTGCGGCAAGCATATGCTGTGAAGAACTTTTCCAGTTTTGTAGGAGTGAAGCTCCTGACTCTGCTGTCGCCCTGATTGCCGTTGAAGCTCCCCACTGCATGACCACTCCACCCCAACGTTTCTAGAACCAGGTCAGTTTAGCAGCTCCCCATATACGCTTGATCTATGAAGGGGAATAGTATGGCTGATACAAGAACTAGGGACTCTGTAGTTCCATCTTGCATTGTGTCTCGTGCATTCACGAATCACACACCAAGTACAGAGAAACGGGCAACGCGTCGCAAGCAGCTACTCCTCCCTCGTCTCTGCTCGCTGCGGCATGTGTGTCGCCTCCGCGTTTACACATCAGGTGCGTGTGTCAATACACATGTGGAGCTGCGAAACTGTACTGGTTGTAAAGACGTCCAACCTTATTGCCTTCATGAAGGCCAGCGGTGAGATCAGGTGCATAGTCATTCGCATGCCATTTCTAAAGAGCTCTGCTCATCAAATGTATTTGTACACGGAACAACGGCAGGTTTTTAATTTTTTCGCCCAGACAATTTCAAAGCTAATAGGCAAATAAGAATGGTTGCACAGCCATGCATGTGTCCTAAGCTTAAGGCCCAGGTATTAGAATGGGTTAGTTGCTACAAAATGAATAAAAACCAATGAGAAATGCAAGACACAGTGAGAAAATGACAGAATAGGCTGAATCCTATATTTATTCAAAAAGTGTACTGCAAAGGCACCTGCCGGCAGCCACCTCGCGAATGCTTGAACCACACATCACAGTGCATAACATAGCATCTTGATTATGCTCGCCTTTCTAGCAAACAGGTGCAATGAGATGTCAGGGATGCAGTTGTTTTTTCATTGATTTACGTACAACGCTTCCAGTATTTTTTTCTCTGTGTTTTCGCCCTCCCACAGGAGAATATCATAGTGTTGTCAAATCAGGCCTGTCTGTCTGTTTGCTAAAAGACTTGGCTGAACCTTTTTAACGAACGCTTTATTAGTGTGCAATTTAGAAATGTAGATGTTCAGTTGTTATTTAAAGAGCTATTCTTTGGCACGATCAACCTTCTAATATATTTTAGAAACATGAACCATTGGAGTGATGTTTTGTTTGAAGAGTTAAAACTTGATGAAACTGCATTGATGAACATTGATGACAGGTAGTAAAAATGAGAAATATGCTCAAGTGCTTTGCTTTGTTTCTTAATATCTTTCAAGTTTCCTCCAAACATTTTCGATGGTGTGTGGTTCTTGAATATCCCTTAGTGTTCTTAAATATTCATAATTAGACGATTCGTCAGCAATGCTAATGTGACGACCTTCGCTGGTCCAGAGCACAGCATGGCCAGTTTCATTGCCAAAATATTTCATGTTGACCATTGCAAATCTGTGCTTACGATGTTTTTCTGTGAGCTAACTTATTCCACCATATGACCCCTACTACTAAGGACTTCTTGTCCAAGGTCTTTAAGGCACAGTTCTATGCTGATATATACCATGCCTCGTGGAACTGCACAGAATATAAGCAGGGCAGGTTTGGTACAGTGCTGAAATCGGGCAATGCAAGGCACAGCAGAGGTTTGTTTTAGAGCTGTAAAATGCGGGGGCTTAGCAGATAATATATCCAACGTATCTTGTTAGAAAAAGCAATGTTTTCAACTGAATCTTTTGCAGTGCCACTCAAATGGAGGTGTTAAATGTGCTAATGTGATAACATGATTCTGTAGGTTGCTGTCTACTTCTGCGCAAAGCAACCCAAGGTGGTCAAAATTTCCGGAGCCCTCCACTACGGCGTCTCTCATAATCATATGGTGGTTTTGGGACGTTGAACCCCACAAATCAATCAATGCTGTCTACTTCAATTGATTTTTGGCATTTATGTCATGGCCATAGTACTTCCCTCTTTTATTTGTGATAGATTGAATGCACGAATACAGGTTCAAATCCTTCCTTTTCAGTGGTGTTCTTTTTTTCAGTACTTGTGGCACATTTCATTGAAGATGGAAATTGCTAGAGAGGATCATTTAACATGGTGAGCAGCTCCTAGAAAAGGCTAAGAAAGGCAGAGCTGAAAGATTTGATCTAGCGGCTAAACCACCAAGCAAATTATGTTTCCAACTAGCCATGGTTCCTGTATTACTCTATTGCCAGTAAGCACAGAAGAGAGGATAGGTTCTAAATCAAAACTGGCAGTTTTTGATAGCCTTTACATGAGGAAAGGCAGTATTCCATCTTGTGTACGGCTTTGGTAAGTAAAGGTAGAAAGTGCATAACCAGGAAAAACACGTTTTACAACGTAACGAAATATCAGTGCACTTTCAGAGATGTGCTTTTTAAAAACACTGTTGCTGTGATGAGAGAGTGTGAGAATGTGAGTTGAGGGAAAACCTGGCTATTCTTGGCTAGTCAATGCCCACTTTTCTTTTCATCGCATGCCATACGTGTTGTCTTTATTTCCATGTTTACTTTCATGCGAAATAAAAATCTTAGAGGCTTGTGCGTATAATGAATTTTAGATTGAGAGTGAATTCGATGAAAATAGTGATTTTGGTTGAATCATTTGAAATCGAATTCGAATAGTGTATATGTGTATCATGACCTAACTAGCTTGCACAAAATTTTTCAAAATCGAAATAGGGTATCTGTGCAAATGCCATTTTCTTTCATTTGAAGGAAGTCTAAACAACTTTAAGTAGCCATAACATTTGGCTTTCGGTACACTGCAAGTGATATCCTGTAAAATATAACATTTTAAAATTTACTAAGAGCATATAAGTTGGCGTAACAAGCTTTTTAACTTGAAGAATTTATGAACCAATTGAGGGTATTATGTTCATTCAAAGGGGCACCGCAATACTTTTACAAGTAGCCATGAAATGGATTCACTAAAGGAGCTTATTGTCGCGTGAGTTCACCCCTGCAAAGATTTTTAGAGTCTGTCCGGCACGAGCGGAGTAAGAAAAAAATTTGTCACACGCTGCGATTGCATTTTCTCTTTTCTTGTCCTGATGAAAGCGCTCAAAGCTAAGCAGAGAGGGATGGCATGAGGAAAGAAAGTCACAGGCGCCTCGTGATCTTGAGCACTTTCTTTTTTTTTCTTCGAATACGCGGCTTTTCACTGCGATAATGCACTAATGCAAGGGCAAGTCAAAGCCTCCCTCAGCCGCCCCAGTAACAATCGAGGGCGCAATGCTCAAATCAGCCAATGGCTGGTAGAATGGTAGTGATGAGCGATTCTTAAGCTTTTAGATTCGTTTGTAGAGAAAGCAAGCTGACCTTGAGAGTTCATTGTGCTGCGTGCTGCGCTTCAATAATTGTCTAGCGTGTTCTCGGTAGCCTCGCGGAAGCGTTTTTCTGCCCATGCTCTAACAGTGTTGTAAGCCCCTTTGAAGTAGAACTTCACGGCAGTGCGTATTTTTTCTGTGTAGAAGCTTTCACGGCTAGCACTAGTACACTGCAGTGAAACTCCCTTTTCAGGGAGTTACATGCGGACTAATATACATCTATTCGTTCATAGCGAATACTTTGAAATTTTCAATAATTTCAATTAGAATCGAAGCGAATTCGAATACTCTACTTTAGTTTGAATATTCAAAGCATTCGAGTATTCGCACAAGCCGAAGATATCTTGGTGCAGTAAGTAGTGCATGAACAATAGTAACAACTTTCGAAGTTTGGCTTTTCAGTTGTTGATTGCTTTTCGGAAACAGCACAAGAGTGTGATGAAGGCACGTAACACCTTGCGGTGTTATCCCACTGTATCTGAAGCAGTATAACTCAAAACTAGCCAATTTAGTTATGTTGGTGGCACAGATACAGTCTGAGCTCTGTACAAGTGAATCCTGCTTCTGAGAACAGGCACTTTTGTGATGACTGCCAGGTTTCTCTAGTCGGTTACTCTTTGTGCATCTAGTATCACCGAGCCCCTCCAATAAAAGCGACATATCCTAATGTGTAAAGAGAGACAGGAGTGAGCAATGTCCGTTGCATTTTTAGTATGTACTTAATATAGAGTCCACCTTGAGGAACCGATAATGGTTGTAGTCTGCCAGATGTTGGCCCATCGTCAGCTGCTGAATACAGTGCATGACCTGTCGGTCAACTGCTGCGCATGCTCTGCAGCTTCCAATGTGTGCATTCATGTGTGACTGTTGCATTGGTAGCATGTATTGGCACGGTTCCATGAATAGCAGCTTTTTTGTAGCTACCAGCCTAAGGTTGATAGTATCATCCTATTTTGAGCTGTGCTGAAGATATAAGAATATAAGAACGCTTTTTTTTTTTCAATGCCATAATTGATTGCTGATTTGTGCAAGAAAGAGGTGTGGAAATGGTTCTTGCACAGCACATTCTCTGACATTTTTTTTTTAAGCAAGGAAGAGAAATTACAGCCGATAAAACTCAGTTTGCAGGCATTTGTTTTGCAAGATTGTGGGATCTTTTCAGTCTAATTTCAGTACCTGTGTTTCAAGTAGGGTCACATAATAGCCATTTCTTGAAAATTTATTAGCCAATTCATCGGATTGGCTTTGACATTATGAAATGTTTGTGCTCAGTATTTATGCTTTCACGTCATTGCATGCATGACAATCATGTAGGAATTTGTTTATTTGAAAAGTGTGCTCTTCACATGAGAGAGAAAGATGTTTAGTTTACCACAGATCACTACAGCGCACAAGAAGTTTTGAGATGAACCACTTTAGTGAAGTGATGGCTGGGTGCTTCATGCTGTTTGATCATTGCGTAAAGCATGTCACTTTTGGTGCACAACCTGCTGACTGCTTTTGTTTTGTCAGGGTCGCATACTGTAAGCCTTTGGTGATTGAACTAGAAACTATTGGCTTGGCTGCAATGAAAAAGGGGCGCCATCTGTCATGTTAGCACAAAACATGTCTTGCCATAACTGTTAAAGATGGTGCCAAAGTTTCATTACCCCAGATTTTTCAACTGCTGCAATTAGTAAACTGTGCATACTTATCACTTATACGAAACATGCCAGTACTGTGAAATTCGAGAGCAAAGTCATTGTTGGCACAGCGCGAAGAGCTGTGCACGCTTTCAACTTATTTGGTCAGGCAAGCATACTTGACCAGCCCACTTGTCATGACCAACAAACGAAGCAATAAGAGCGAGTTGAAGGTACCATGCAATACAGAGACTGCAGCTTTTTTGTGGATATAACTTGTAGGAAATGTTTGCGTGAAAAGCTTCCCAAACAGAGATTTTATTCCACTTTGATTCCCGTTTTTCTGTGCTCCATCAGTCACTTGTCCTGCCTCGAGTTCAAGCCTGACAATTCTTCATTATGCCAATAAGGCCACATGTTGCTTTGCAAATGTTGCATAGCAATTTCACGATATATATCAGTGCTGCTGTGTATGTGATGACCGTATGACATGAAGGCCTCTGTAGTGCTCAGGGTTCTTGAAAGGCTCGCATGTGCTAAGCCTTCTTGCAATGAGCTCACACTTTTCTCGGAGTCCAAAGAAAGCTCTGCAAGGATAGGCGACAGTTGCTGGTGTGTCGTCTGTTGTTAACAAAAACGAGGCATTCACGAAAGAGTGCATGCTGCTTTAGTGCATACTATTTTGATTTGACATACACCCTGGGTGGGAGTGCCTGGAAAGAAAAACTGCGCATGTATTGGCTCGCTTTGTGCGATTTCCAGCAGCTGGAATGTCATTTATTGTGCAGTCTGCACACCTTTGCAATAGCTTCAACTCGCATACCTCAGCATGCATCGAATGCCACTTTGTCAGCCTTGTTGCACGAAGGCAACGATCCAGCTATAAGCAAGTGTTTAAGTACTAACCATACTTGCAATGTTTGAGTGTTCAACTATTGTACTGTTGCAAGCTCATTAAACTCTGCTGTCTTTTACTAGAATAAGCAGTCAACTTGAACAGAGACATAGTGTCTACTACTTTTTTCGCTGCTTTTGCTTGTCACACACAGTTTGTGGAGGCTCCGTACTGGCAAAGTTTTCATAAAATAGTTCAGTCAGTTACCTGTTCTTTTATTATGTCCCAGAAAAAGCTAAAATGAAATCTTCAGAAATAGAACACTGCATTGCAAATTGTATCTCTTCTTGTTTTTCCCTTCACCACCCCTTGGTTTTGGCACTATTATTGCGATAGATCATTACACACAATAGTGACCAACCACGTTTTCTTGGATGGAAACGCTTATTGCAGTAAAATACTATTTTCTTTACAGTGAATCCGGCACAAGTATTATCATATTGTAGGAAATATGGCCAAGTTCAATGCATGCTCGGTAATATATCAGCGATGTGACCGAAATTTGTTCGGATACGATAGGCAGTGCATGGAAAGGCACTTTTCAGCATGTCGATGATTGGGACAGTCACTGGTTGAGACTCTCGGGAGAAGCGAACGGGGTGATCATGACATAGCTGCATTTTGTAGTGCTTGCGTATTATTCTTTGCTTTAAGTTGTTTTTTTTTTTTTTTTGAAGTCTGAATTGACTTTACTCGCAACAGTTTAATATGAACAATGATGTCTGAGACCAGAGAAGCAGAGCACTACTACGCATATTGTTAAGTTATGGATATATTCCTGATATTTATTGAATATGTAGTGTCTATTCTACAGATGGCTTGTACCAGCGAAATTAAAAATTTAGGATTAATCTATCTTGTATGCATTGTGTATCAAAAGTCCAGGTTTTTTGAGCTTGATTAGAATGCAGATTTGTTATTCAGTGTTACATTATAACAGGTCAATCTCTGATCGGTTGTCATAAATATTGAAGCAAACTTTGACAAAACATATTCTTTAGCTACTTGCTGGGGATGGAAGGGGATGTTTTGCCAAGATATAAGTCATAAGCACTCTCTGGATTCGTCGTGAGCATTCGGAAGTGTGGGTTAGATCGAGGCCCATAAAAGTTTTGTATTAGCCAGAACTACACTTGTTTGATCTGACCTTCCACTCATCGTTTGTGGTAACCTCGATGACTGAACTTGAAAGTTTGTGAGCCTGTGTCCCCTAAAATTGTACAAGGACAATCCATTTAGGTGGGCTGCCTCTGCATGTATGTCTGTGTTGTTTTGGTGCAGTTTTTGTGTATTTATTATTCTCTCTGTGGCTTGTTTGTATTTGCGTGAAGGGTGCACTCACTCATTTGCTTCCGCCTCCTGCCCCACCGCAGACAAGTGGGACACACCTCTCACAAGCACAACAACAAAAGTGGAGCTTGCACACTCAAGCTAAGTGTGCAAGCACTGATATATTACAAAGCAGTGAGAGCATATATGAGGAACACATTTTGCTTTGGCTTGTTAGGGCTTAACTTTGTCAAAGGGGACAAAATTTGAGTCAAATTCTGTTTTCATGAATTTGTTTTCAATTGTTGCATGGAAGCAACAAGATGGGTTGGTCAGCAACCCCTGTGCTTTGACTTCCTCTGCCTAAATGCTACAGTACTTCCAGTAACATCACCTTTACAGTGCACATGTTTTTCTTAAGCGTCAGTGTATATATATATATATATACATACATACATAATTATATACATATATATATTCTAGATATGCATATGTGTCATAGCACTTGAGCATTCTTACTCACAGTTTAGCGTGACTTACTCAAAAGACTATGGCCATGCAATACTTGTTTCCCGAGCCCACCCTAAATCTTGTCACAAGCAAGTAACAAACCCTGCGCATTGAGAGTAGGAAGCACAAATGGTGCAGTGATGACTGAACAGGCTCTTCATTGGTCTCAGATAAGCTGTTGCTGCGTTCCTTTGCCTTGGGAAAGACTTGCTGCTTGTGGCTGGTACATCAACAATAATTGCCGATTCAGGGAGGGGGGTAGACAACACAATTTCCAAGAGTTCATGCTTTATCACCTGTGTTCTAGTGTGGTATTTGTGCACCAGATTGATTGCTTGTCAATATACCACCATGCCCAAATGAAATGTGCAAACTGTACTTTTAACATTTGCAAGTGCATGGTGAGATTCATTCATTCGTTCAATCAATTTTGGGACTTGACCACATCTGACATCCAGTGATGTTTTGCATTAAGCAGTTAAGCATAGTAACAGCTGTTCAACTAACTTGCTATTTAATGATTACATAAATGCTAAAGCATTTGGCCCTAAAAATATGGCAATCTTTAAATTGTGAGCATTCGTTGCTTGCTGTCTCTGGTGTGGAGCAGCATGCCTCTAAAATGCTGCTTTTAATTTCACTAGCACGCTACTTTCTGGAAAGGCAACAAGGTTCCCTCGTGCCCTTCCTTTGGTCACAATAGTCGGAGCTGCCCACAGGACTTAACAGCCATGAATTTTCATGCAGCAGTGTGTTATGTGTACAACTGAAGCAATACCTCGTGGCTCAGCAAGCCTCACCTCGTGACTGCTTGCTGCCTCGCCAATGGCAACAGGTGGAGAACTGTTGGTGTTGATATACTTGCGGACAATGCACAACAACATGGGACAGATGAAAGCACAGTGCTAACTTGTTTCGCTTAAAGAAATCACGTCTGTTGCTCTCCTTATCATCTTTGCTTTCATTGATGCATTGTGCATTTGCATGTACCAGCTGACCCAGCATTTTGCTCTGAACAAAAAGAAAGAAATAGTAGATGTAGTGTTACATTGTCTAAAATTACAAAAATGCCTAAGAATCCGGCATTGTAAGCACGTCACGCCTCAGTTGCAAGCATTTGTTACTGTTTCTGGGGCGGGGTAACATGCTTCGAAAGTGACACTATTGTCCATATGTTTTGGATGGAATCACATTGCTACATGTGTGTACAAACAAGGGGGTTGCAGGATATCTGTGCATCATTTGTTCATTCCTTTTGTCCGTCCCATTCCATTAACATGTATGCACACAGTAGTGATGCCTGGCAGGGCTTGCATTGCACTGTTCAATCTGGTATCGCCTCATGTTTGCGAGGTGTGTGTTCAACCTTGCATTGTGCTGTTGCAAGTAGTCAGTGGCTGTCTTCAGAGCGGTGCTTTCAGCTGTGTCTTCTGTGTCTGCTCAGCCAGCTTTAGCTCTTCATTGAGTTCTTGCCTCTGACTTGTGCCTGTGGGCTGTGTGCGTGAAAACCAGCGTAACATAATGACCCTGTGTATAACGCCTCCACCTTGATTTGTACATACGGGGGTTGATCAATGCTAACTAAGCTACATGAGATTTGTAAAGGGTTGGGGCCTCTTTTGTGCCACTTTTAATGTGTCTGTGCACATTCCGACAATGCTGGTTCAAGGCTAGATAATTGCAGTCTGATACGATACCAGTGTTTTCAACCCTACTGCCATTCGTGATGGACCACTGGATGTCAGATGGACTTTTGGTTCTGTTTACTCCTGGCAGGCATTAGAATTTTATTTTTTCCCCAAAAAGCTCGCAACTCAATGGTGCTCATTGACATGAAACATTAAAGCTTGTTTTTGTTACTTTTTGTTTAGTAGACTGGTGTAATAAGAAAATGAAGCTGCTTTCCTTCATTGTGAACCTAACACTCACTTCCCTAGTTCTTCGATTTCTTGACAATACTTTGGCATCAGTTGCTTTCTCAAAATATTTTCCAAACTGTGCATGCAGTCATGAGAAGAACAAAACAGACTGCGAAATCACACACTAATAACTGTTACAGAAGCTTATTCAGCATGGTACATTGGTTTTACAGTTTTGCAAATGCCATCTACGAAGATGCAGAACACTAGTGATCTGTTGACAAATACAATATAACCTATCTGAGTCTTAAATTACCAGTACACTGAGTTGTCTGCGTAGCACCTCAAGTGCTACAGCTAACACAAAGTAAATGATACCAGTCCTCATGAAAGCCATGACTGACATTGCTTTCTTCATTCATTTTTGCAACCACATTTAGATCACTTGTAGTTGTGGGAATGATTCAGGGTTTCCATTTGAAATTAAGCCTGACTAGGTAAGTTTGCTTTCAAAAATCTTCGTGCTCCTAAACTGTATTTAACTTGCAATGACAGTAACGTTCAGCTTATCATGAAAATGTGAGTGTGCTCAACAGGGCTGACCACATCCGGATTGGCCATATGGGGTCGGGGAGGTTTTCAGTTGAGTCATGGTGCCTAAGGTTGCAAAAGGATTGCAAAAGAATTAATGTAATAATAAAAGCATGAGAATAAAGAGGCATCTGCAAAGGCTGCCCTCTATAAATACTATAAGATTTGAAATGCTTCATTCAACATGTAAGCCATATACAGCATAAAACGTTAATTTGGCTCGGTCAAATTCAGCATAACTGTACCGAATAATAATGATGACCTGTAAATTTTCAAAATTACAATCTGCTTCATAGAATAGTATTTAATCTTTGCTAAGGTGAAATGACTGTCTACATAGGAAGCATTATTTAATGAGCCAACTGTATTCACTAGGTCGCTCACGTTGCTACAGGTTGGCTTGGGAGCTTGCTCAAGGGAAAGCGGAAAAGTAAATCCACCCCCACACCGTGATTAGAAAAGCACTTTCATGTTGATGCAATTTTATTTTCCTATAAATATCAAGTTTTTTGAGAAACTTGTCAAAATATTGAAGTAGCAGACTGTTAAGAGTAGGGTAATGCTGCTGCATAATGAGGCGAGATACACAATTTTTAACTTCAAAGAGCACACAAGTGTAGTGACATCTGTGCCTGGTGGTCCAGTAGCGTAATGCCTGTCAATAATATGAAGAAAGGTGTTTCTGTTTGGGAACTTTGTGTGTCAATTATTTGTTAAAAGGGCTCTTGATTACTAATGGGATGCTTTGTGTGTTTGTACAGTAGATGTGAAACGTGACTTCTCTATACATATGTATATCTAGAGCCTTTTGGTACTAAATAAATTAATTTTTATAATGAATGTGCATTCATGAACTTCTTTGGGTGTTTTGCTGATTGCACTAGCAACACTGTTGTTCCAAACATAGTTCAGCAAATAGTGCACTCTAGACAACCATACGAAGTGCTACGTTAGACAGTCACACACACGAATGTGTGAGTACCGGAGTACCGAGTAAAAAAAAGTGGCTTTTTAATTTGCATGTTGTTGCACAAGTGTGCTCTAAAGTGTACGAGAGCGAAAACTGGTGCGGCTCCATGCTCAACAGGAAAAAGTGCTCAAATGCCAGGTCTAAGTATCAGTGCTTTCTTCTATGCCGTGTTCTAGGAGGATGTTCTACGCGCATGCATCGCGCATCAATGTCTAGTTGCGTTGCTATTCCGCAGGATATTTAGGTTCTATTCAAAATGCCTTACTGACCCATTAAAAGGCAATGAGTAAGGGAGGCATTAGTATATACATTGCAATAAAATAGCCAAAAAGTAAATAAAGAACAATAAAACAAGGAAAACAAATGATAAACAGCAAGGTGCAACAGTTATACAATAGTAAAACACATCGAAGCAAGGTTATGCAGAGTTTCACGAGAGATGGGTACGATGTGATCTGGAAGGCTATTCCAAGGTTCTGTGGCTCGAGGTAATGGTGATGAGTCAAATGCCTGCGTGTGACTATGAATGCGCATGAAACTACATGCGTTGTGAATGCGTGAAGATGTGCACAGAGGAAGATGAAGTGGCAAACAGTGGAATTTATTACTGTAGGTGTACTTAAGAAACAAATGAAAGGGAAATCACGCGGCCTTGATACAGTGACAAATACAAGATCTTGTTTTGTGCTTGAGTGAGGTTACCAGCGATGAATCTCGCTGCCCTGTTCTGGACGGCTTCTAACATGCGGACAAGGTAATCTTGCTGATGGTGACCATGTGGATGGCGCATACTCTGTGCTAGTTGTGGGCGAGCATATGTTAGATTTGATAATGCGCCTAGGAATGCGCCTAGGAGAAACTGGGAGGCTTCTGAAGAAACAGCTGCTACGTGTTTAGTCCAAAATAAATCTGATGAAAGGTGCACACAGATATTTGTATGATGGTGTGGCTGAAAGAACTGTATTATTAGTATAATTAAAGGATGAGTTGGTACGCTTTGTAGTGAACGAGATAAACTTTTATTTAGAGGCATTAAGGAACATCTGCTAAGCTTCACACCACCTGTAAGTTAGATAATGGTCACTTTGGAGAGCAGAATTGTCGACAGCAGACTGGATATTGCAGTAGATGACACATTTGTCTGCAAACAACCTATCTGAGCATGAAAGGTTAGCGGGTAAGTCGTAAAGGCCAACTCTGGCGATTTTTCGAGGTCAGTGGATCTCAATGAAAATTTCTGGGCATGTTCCCTTGCACATTTCTGTCATTAATGCCAAATTGCAGCCTTAAGAGGTGTGCAGATTGTTTGGAAAAAAATTTTAAAGATTGCCTCGAAAAGCTCACCTCGCTTGCCGGAATTACTGGCAAAACTGTGTGTGCGACGTCATGTTTGGCATGTCAAGGGAAGTGACGCAGCCAATGGTATCGCTACTTTGGCGCTACAGTGTTTATGCGCTGGTCACAAGGCGACGGCGGCAATGTTTGGCATGGGAAAGCTTCCTTCCTTCCTGTGCGGTGTTTGGCTGGCGCTGCCGGCGCTTCGCTAGTCTGGTTTTCAGTTTTCGTACTCTGTGCCGGCGGAAACAGTGTTCGACTTTCGTTTCTTATCAAATAGTAGGTCATACGCAGACAATGCGCTCGGTTGTGTTTCGGTTCTGGCATTGTCTGTTTTTGCTAATTAGAAACTGTTTTTGAATTTCCTGGGCATTTCAGCTATTGGGCTCGTGACAGGAGTGTCTCAAAACATTGAAGACTTGACATGGTAGAAGAATCGCCGGAGTTAGGATTTAATGTCCATAAAAAAAGAGAAATGAGCCCAGTACACTGCCTTGGGGAACACCAGGTGTGGCATCGCAAACGCCAGATGAAGTGCCCTTAACCACTGTGAATTGCTGATAGAAAGACAAGAAGTTGCGTATCCAAGACAATGTTGATAAACTTAGAGATTAAACGACAGTAAGGGACAGTATCAAAGGCTTTGCTGAAATTGAGGAAGAGGCAGTGTATTTGATTGTTATTGTTGATAATATTGGAGAGGTCAGTTATGAAATTGAACAACTGAGTGTCACATGAGTAGCCATTCCTGAAGCCACGCTGATCAGGAAAAAAGTTATTCGGTTCAAAGTCGTCACAGATATGAGAAGCCATATTATGTTCAAGTAGTTTGCAGATTATGCATGTTGGTGGAACGGGTCAATAGTTACGAGTTGAGTACCTGTCACTGAACTTTGAAGATTGGCAGAGTAGTCCCCATTGAATATGGGGACCATCTTGCCAATCTTCCAGTCTTTAGGCAACTCACCGGATGAGTATGGTTAAAGAAGAGAGACACAGAAAGTGACCAGAAATATCAGTGGTGATTTTCAGTATCTTAAAGTTAATGTTATTTATGCCTGATGAAGTAGAGTAAGATTCGTGGTGAAGTGCACGATACTTTCTGCAGTGATGGTGGTGGGAGCCATGGTAGGGAAGGGCTCATTAGGGACAAATGGCACATTGGAACAACCTTCTTGATTGATTTGTGGGGTTTAACATCCCAAAACCACTATTTGATTATGAGAGACGCCGTAGTGGAGGGCTGCGAAAATTTGGACCACCTGGGGTTTTTTAACGTGCACCCAAATCTGAGTACACGGGCCTACAACATTTCTGCCTCCATCGGAAATGCAGCCGCCACAGCCGGGATTTGATCCCGCGACCTGCGAGTCGGCAGCCGAGTACCTTAGCCACTAGACCACCGTGGCGGTACAACAACCTTTTTCTGTGGAGAGGTGAAATATGCATTGAAGGCATGCTTAATGAGAAAATGGAGTTTGTTTAGCATCGTGTAATTTAACATGGTTAGAAGACATGTTGTAACAAGGGGTTATTTGCCAGAATTTAGGATTATTTTTTATAAGTGAGGGCAAGTCCTGTGAAGCATTTCTTCACTTTGCCTAGAGATTTACAGTTCTCTCACAAGCACTCTGTAGGAAACAGAATCATTGGTTTTTGCGATATTATATGAACGTTACTTTTTATTTCGTAATGTTCAAAGCTGTTTCATAAACCAAGGGTTAGTCTTATCATTGGATATAGAGATTAGAGGTACTAGCTGATCGGACTCCCTCTAATATTTTTTCTTGAAAAATAATCCAGTTGGCATGTCATGAACATGTCATCTGGTGATGGAAGAAAGAGAGAAAGAAGGAACAAGAGAATTGGAGAAAGAAGAAAATCTTACATTGCAGCAGGCTGGGTGAATAAAGAACACAAGGCAGAACAGGTTAGGGAAGGGACACGAGAGGCGACGTGGCCGGCAGGGAAAAAAGGAGGAGAGAGAAAAGGGCTTGGAACAGCAAGAGGCAGACATGCGGTGACAGCGGAACGGCGTTCAACGGGAGTTAGCCAGCAGAGCTCGTGGCCAGGTTCCCCTGCCTTCTCAGCAACGCCCTGTGAGCTGTAGGGTGTGACCAGGAGATGAGCTCGGCCGAGCGACGGCATCCTTGTGATGACGCGAAAGATGTCCTGTGGCATCGCTCCGTAAAGTGCACATCCCAAGGACGAGTGGTACAGCCGCTGCGGGGACCCGACGCTGCAGTTACGTGATACTGCAGGGAACCGACAGAGTAGCCGACGGCCGTGCAGCTTTGGCGCGATGGATTTCATAGACGCGACGAGCATCAACGACTGGACTTCAGAGCCACCACAACGTCAGGCCTTGAACCTGTACTGTAAATATATTTTTAGGTTGTGTACATAGTGTTTAAAAGACCGTTATACTATAGCTTACGTCTCACAATTTCTGCTATTTGTTTTTGTATAATTGTTTGTTCTCATAAAAATTTCTGGTGCCCCTTTCGTCATTGTCACGTGCTTAATGTCTAGAGACCGTCACATGGCGTTCGCGGTTCGTGAGGTTAATGACAGTAAAAATGCTCTTGAGAAAAATTCTAATTTGGTGTCACTTGTTCATAATAATATACTGTAATCGCGGATAGCTTTAGTCGCTGCGCCTGTAAATATTACAGGTATATTCATCTGTAAATGAGTGAGCTCAGGATAGCTAAATTCTAAGCATGAAATCGCTCTAGTGGAAAGGTGTGTTAGCGAAAACCAGGTCCAGTACCTGGGTACCACGGGAGCATTGCTGAACAATGCTCCAGAAACGATCAATGCTCTGCTCAATGCTGAACAGTGTTCTTCGTTTCTTCATTCTATCGCGTTTTCTACAATAAGAAAGTTCGTTGTGCACTTGCACCGCTAATTAGTGATGAACTGTCATACGTCCCTTTCATCAGCGACATGTTCCAGGAAAGCTGGGCTGCTGCGCTCATGATCGGTTCGTTTCTTCGTTCAATTTCGTTTTGTTCGCTGTTTGTGAACAAACTGGCTACCACCGAACGACCTACCCCAGCAGACTTCGGGTCCGGTACTTCCGGCAATGCTTCTTCAAGGTCCGGGTGGTGTTTTCGTGGCGTGTTTGAGTTTCTCGCCGAGACCTGGCCGTCTAACAGGAGTCCAAACCCACACTTGGTCGCCAGGTTGATAGGTGACTTGTCGATGGTGAATATTGTACCTTCGGGCATCTTAGCGTTGCGATCTTATGTGCACGCGAGCTAGTTTACGTGCTTCCTCTACATGCTGAATGTAATCCTCGACGTCAGGAGTTACCAGCTCGTGCTGGTCGATGTCACAAGCAATCATGGCATCTAGCATGGTTGGCACGTCTCGATCGTAAACGAGGCGGGAGGGTGCGAACTTTGTCGTTTCCTGGATTGCAGTGTTGTACGCAAACGTTACGTATGCCAGGATCTCGTCCCACGTTTTATGCTGCACATCCACGTACATAGAAATCATGTCCGCCAGCGTTTTGTTTAGCCTTTCTGGC